GATGTTCAGAATTTTGCATTTCAGGTACCCACGTATCTACACAAACCCAATCATTTTCATGTTTAACAGAATTAGAAGACACACTGAAAGATTTTTTGATGTTATGTAAATATTCTTTTGTAAGTAAATGGAACCTCTAAAGCCCAGCATCTCATAGAAAATTTCTAATTTCATTTAAATATTATCCAGAGAAATTTTTGCTGCTATCTTTGATGCAATATTTTTTATTTCATCTGTTGTTAAAAATAACCTGTTACTTTTAATGAAGCTGGGCAATATGTATTTATTTTATTGCTATCAAGGATTTTTAAGTAACGCAAACCTTTGCTTTCTGATATAAAATTTCATGAATATTGGCATTACACCATGTATATTAAATATGTTTACTCCATAAGAAATTTTGACTTCGTATTATTTTCAATTTCTGCCTTCCATGCCAAAAAATCATCAAATGAATTAAATTCCAGCTCAGTATGATTCAAATCAACATCATGAACATTATTGAAATGAAATATTATTTCTCGCTTTTCAAAATTAGCATAACATACAGGACACACATAATTACCTGTTAGAAGTATGAATTTTATTTTGATGATATTTCCAATTTTTTAGGTCACTAAATTTCAGATAGCAGTCCTCACATTTGTAGCTTGGTGATCGACCACTTTTTAAAGAATAAATAATGTAGTATTATTAGAGTGTAATGTGTTGGTATGGCGTTTCAAACTGCATTTATTTTGGTACGTTTTTAAGCAATCAGAGCATACAAAATTATTCTCAGCCACACTAAAATTATTTGCACAATCAACCATACTATTAGAAACTAGTTTTCAGAGACTCAATTAATGTAGTATTATTGTAATGAAATTTATATGCATGGCGTTTCAAATTGTATCTATAGTTGAAAGTTTTAAAGCAATCACGGCAAACAAAATCACTCTCAGCTATACTAAAATCATTTTGCACAATGAACCATATCACTCACAACACAATCAGAATTATCACATACCACAATTGGAATTATCGCACACGGATTATTCCTTCCTGATTTTGATTCGATTCAGAATCAAAAATACCTTCTGTGGAAAACAGAAGTACTTGGCACTGAAATGGGCAGTTTTTTCTTGATTTTGTGCAGAAGATATAATAATCGAAGCAAAATAAAAAAAGAGAAAACTGTATCAGCAATCACACACTACCACAGCACTGCAAGGAGCAGAGTAAATAACAGTAAATACGAAGCGCCTTCAAGGAAATGACGACGTGCGCAATAATCTGCGCAGATGTTCAGGGAGGAACCAGGAGGAAACTAGCGTCTGATGGACTAGAAGCAGGGGGGCCCAAGAGCGATGCGCAGTGCAGGGAGAAAGTTATGCCACATACGCATGACGTCATGTGGGTGAAGGCGTAGTCTTGGCGTTTGTTACTTTCGTGCATCAACAGTTGATTTGATTTGTGTTGTTAATTTGCTATTATACTAGGCGGAAGTGGAAAATTGTGCTATAGCGTTGTGTCAGAATTATACACGTTAATACGTTTTTGGCGGAAAAAAACTTTACAACCAGATAAAAAACTATTTTTTAATGAATTTATGTAGTTTTCATACATAACTGTGATGTAATTTTACATTATTTTTCATTTTACTGCTATTTTAATTTAAATTGAAAAAATTCTCATTTTAAATCATTTTTTTCATAATCTTCATTTTGTGTATGAGACTTACATCGTAGTGAGATATTTAAATTCAGTGTCATGTTTAACAAAACTGAGTACCTGAATGATTAGTTAATAAATTCGCGTATCCAATTTATTCACATGTTTAGTTTACTTTCTTTACATCCCAAACGTAATTCTATGTATTGAAGCAGCGTCTTGGTTAAGCTTTGCGAAACTAAGTAAACTGATACAGCCTCACCGTGAGGAAAAAGAACAATTTCTCGACCAGACTATGATGCAAACATCGAATGAGTGAGTGACATTTCCTTCAGTGTTATTTAACTGATGCATACAGGTATGTGTGGTGTAATTTAATTGATATAACTTACACATGCTTGAACCTGAAGGAAAACAAATCTGTGTATAATGTAGAATAAGTAAGTAAATATTCTGTTCAGTGTTATTTAACTGCTGCATATGTTTAATTTTGATTCCATATAACTTGTTTTAATTATAAGAGAAAGAAAAAATAATTCAATATTGAACACATATTTCGAGTATAACAAAAGTATTTTAAGAAACAACCTGATAAAAATACATTAGTATTAAAAATATTTAATTTGTGTACAGACTGAATGAAATTAAGATGTGGTGGTGTATTAATTAGGCAAAGCAACTAGGGCTATCTGGTAATAGGTGTGATGCCTTCGTGGAGGACTTTCTCAGGGAGGAAACTGGCTCGTATACACGTTACACATGAGGAAAACCACGAAAACGCCCATGCAGCCAGCCAGTTCGCGGGATTCGGACGAATACCAGTGTTCAGCGACTTTCCGCTCGGCTGCTGGTGGGCCGAAACTAAGATGTAGGGCAAGTTTATTCTATTATTATTGTGCGTAGATGTGTAAGAAAATGTATTTTAATTGTTCCATTTTTAATGTATGGAAGGAAGAATAGGATGCCAATATCGAAGATTATTTATATAGCAAATAATCACGTCAGGATAAATGTTATATAGAAATCTTGGGAGTGTAAGGATTATAAGAGTACTTTTAGATATACTGAAAATATGCACTTCTGCTAAAATCTGAAGTGAATCAGTATGAAGTGACTTTAAAAGAATGCGATAAGTATACTATTTAAAAGATAATGACGGTATTAAGAAAGTGTAGAATTTTATGGTATTTAAATATGAATTTGTTAGTCAAATCTTTTTATAGATTTTTGGTTGAGATATGTAATTTAAACTGAAAAACACGATCATATATTTCTCATGGAATGTCAAAGTCATTTGCATTAAAAAAGTGCATGAGCAATGAAAAAAAATATAATATACTTTTTGATTATGTTTTACCTGGTCTTAGCAGTTAGGCCATCATGTGTTTTTCAACAAGATTTATTTAGTGCAAACAATACTACGAAAAATATTGAAAAATACCTTGTTTACAATATTTTTCCCTTAATAACTTAAATATCGTTTTTCATTTTCTAATGCTTTCCTTTACGAAAAGAATTAATGTTTACAATTATTTCAGCATTGTACTAATTCTGTGCATAAAATAAACATTTCTTTAACAAAATACTTAATCGGAAAGTATAACCCGGTATTTCCGGTGTATCACCACATATAAAATGATCATTTTGCTTTAGTTTACATTTTTTCCATTACCAAAATCATGTAGCAGACGCGCGGCGATGCTCTGTCTCCCGGGTGACGTCACTACCAGCAACCAATGGCACGCTTTTTTCGTTCCTGGCCTAACCTTAGTATATTAAAGAACCTTGGGCTAGAAGCTTGTGAAACAGCGACAGACAGACAACGTAGACACATGTCTTGTTTTGCACCCGCTAAGTCTTTCTGCACCGATGGGCGAAAAATCAAGCATAGGTGCGAAGGAAAGGTATATAGAAAGGGGGGCAATTTCGTATTTGAGGAGAGTAAAAAGGAACTTCGTACATTTTGTACGAGTTCAAAAGCCCAGAAAGAAAAGATGGGACAAAATAAAACTTAAAATAAATAGCCCAAAAATAATAGAGGAGAAAAAAAAAAAAAAAAAAAAAAAAAAAAAAAAAAAAAAAAAAAGGCCTATAGAAAGAAAAGGAAAAGAAGTAGAAAATATCCTAAAATACTATTGTGTCCATGAGTGTAGTTAAAAGGAGTTCATTTGCAAAAATTAGTGTCTTTAAGAAGCAAACTTTAGGTAAGTTAAAAATAAATAAATAAATAAATGAATTCCTACATGGTAATGTGTATGCCCCATATCTTGAGACCTAACTAGAAAAGACATATATCATCACAGAGATGTACATAATATTTTAACTAAAGTAACATTAACTATTACCGATCCCAAAAAATTCATGTATATTTCAGAAAAACAGTAATTGACAAAATCATAAATCCATACACAGTGTGAGAGCATATCAGCAAAAATAAGTTATACAGTTTATTTTTCTTAAATATTAGTTATATATGAAATTAGTTTATTAATTTAACCGTTGTAATTTATTATAGTACAAGTTTAACAAATTCCGTCACACTGTATGTATATTTGCTCATAATTCTAAGTTTGATACCTGGAGAAAAAAGTCGGGGATCTTAGTTACAAAAATCACAATCGATCTCATCGATGGTCAAGAGATCCCCATTTTTTCCCTCTCAAGAAATTCCTAAGCACGAAGAGGGGGGGGGGCCTCCGAAGGGTGTGAATAGCTGATAAGAACGGACTACTGATAAGGAATGTGGCGTCTCTACGGAATAGTTACGAAGAAAAGAATCGCATGACTTGCTACTATTACTATTGTATAATGCTAGAATCTTATGAAAATAATAAATAAAGAAATTTAATGGCACTTTAGTGATAGAGAATAAGATATTGTATGGAGAACAGAATGTTACTTATCTGAATATTCCGTGTCAGGGTTTCTTTTGGATTTCTCCTGTTAATAGTAAACAGGGAATACGATTAATTAAGACACAATAACACGCCGAATAATACTAATTGAGAAGACAAACAACAAAAATCAGCGTTATATTTACAAAATTTCCACAGGACTAGTTTCGATGGTTTTACCAAACCATCATCCTCAGCTGCAAAACCGCAAACTTTTTTAGAGAGTTGAAAACATTTACTGAAACTTATTTAAAAATTTTGGAGCTATGTTTAGACACTGCCTCCAGCTTTCGTGATCGCAGCGCCAGCAACAAGCCCGATCACCGACGTTAGAGCGTTAGCTCTCGGTTGCAGTTATCATGTAGCGCAGCGATTTTGTATTCTATTAGAGATATAACAAATCATTTGAAAAGCGCAACACTTTTAAAAAACACATGTATACAGAAGCGATACATGGAATTATTTAGAGAAAAGGGAGTTTTAAACAAGCGTATGGTTAAACATGCAGAAGAGAAACCACATCTGTGTGAATTATATGATACGCCATTTACTCAAAAGGGTAGTTTAAACTACCATGTGATTGTTCATACAGCAGAGAAATCTCATACGTGCGAAGTATGTAAGAAGTCATTTTATTCGAAGAGTAAATTAAACCAGCATATGCTTATTCACACAGGAGAGAAACCTTATGTTTGTGAGATATGTACTAAGTCATTTAGACAAAAGAATTCTTTAATGAGACATATGATTGTTCATACAAGACAGAAACTTATATGTAATAGTGAACATATATGCGAAGTGTGTAAGAAGTTATTTACAAGTAAGAGTACTTTAAACCAGCATATGCTTATTCACACTGGAGAGAGACCTCATATGTGCAAATTATGTAAAACGCCATTTATTTCTAAGTCAAGTTTGAATAAGCATATGTTTGTTCACACAGGAGAGAGACCTCATGTGTGTAAAATATGCAAGAAGTCATTTAGTCAAACAAGTAGTTTAAAGCTACATATGCTTATTCACACAGGAGAGAAACCTCATATGTGTGAAGTGTGTGGAAAGTCATTCAGACAAAAGGTATTTTTAAACAGACATACGCTTATTCACACAGGAGAGAAACCTTATACATGTGAAGTATGTAAGGTGTCGTATAACCAAAAGAGTACTTTAAATGAGCATATGCTTATTCATACAGGAGAGAGACCTTATGTGTGTGAAGTATGCCAGAAATCCTACCGTCATAAGCATAGTTTAAATGTGCATATGGTCATTCACACAGGAGAGAAACTTCATATGTGTACAATATGTAAAAAGTCATTTAGTCAAAAGGTTAATTTAAAAACACATATACGTATTCACACAGGAGAGAAACCTCATGTGTGTAAAGTATGTAAAAAGTCATTTAGTCGAAAGGTTAATTTAGAAAGGCATATGTTTATTCACACAGGAGAGAAACCTCATGTGTGTAAAGTATGTAAGAAGTCATTTAGTCGAAAGGTTAATTTAAAAACGCATATGTGCTTTCACATCACAGAGAAAGTGTAAGATATGTAAAAAGTCATTTATACCAATCGCTGATTTAAATATGTATATCACGTCTTTCGACCAATAGCTGATGATCTACACTTCAGTGATTGACAAAGAGCTTTATGTTAACATCTTGTACTCGACTTGTTTATGGAGTTTTACATCTATCATCTCTCCTGTGCTGTTATTAATGCTATGTTTTTATTTATTTTCATATTGCTTGTAATAAATTGTTTAATTGCTTTCATATTGCTTGAAGTGCTGTATTTATTTTCATATTGCTATTATAAATGCTATGTTTCTATTTTTTTCACGGGTACCAGGAACCAGTGCCTGGTGGCTGGTGATCCACTGAACAGATGCATTTTGGAGACAAGTCTTATGAATTATGAGGTTAAAGTGAAAAGTTCTCTGCCTGACCCAGAGATGGCACTCTAATCAGTAAAAATTTATGTTTCCTGCCTGGGTGCATGTGTCATTAGTTCGTATGACCAGCTTCAACTTGTTCTCTCAAGTAGTTTGTTTAAACGAATTTTCGCAGTAAACGTCTTGTGTGTTATATATTAAAATGCGTAGACTTGAATATCATGTGGTCATAAAATTCTTTATTTTGGATGTATCAAACACTAAGGAAATTCCTCCGAAGCTGGTAAAAATTTACGGGGACTGCCCCTTACATCATAACCATTAAAAAGTAGGCAGGTTAATTTAAACGTGGTCGCACATTCTTCAAAGATGATCCACGTGAAGGGCGGCCCAAAACCGAAACCACACTGGAAACCATAAAAAAAGTGCACGATATTGGGTCATTGCCAGTATATTTTAGGTTGCAAAAGGCAAAACAGTTACAGGTGAATATTACTTCAATCTGCTTGACCAGCTGGATGCCAAAACTCGTGAGAAGAGGCCTGACTTGAACAAGGAAAAAGCCATCAAGGGTGCGTAGGCGATGGGAAAACTGTGGGACTTGGGCTACGATTTGCTTGCCCATCCTCCCTATTCTCCTGATTTGCCACCCTCAGACTTGCAAAGCACTTCCCAGGAATGAAGAATTGAAAACGTTGAGAGGGTCATTGATGGATATTTTCACAACATTCCAAAGTCCACTTCCAGGAAGGAATACTGATGTTAGAGAAACGCTGGACTATTTGTTTGTTTCACTAGAGAAAAAATTTCATTTATGCAAGATAAATTCCCAATAAAAGATTTAAATCAGCCTATGCATAGGCTAATTGAAAAGTTTGGAATGTTTCTTTGATTCAGAATCAGGTTTGATAAATTTTGCTTTACTTCCATTTTTTCCGAAATTGCAATCCTTTACAGTGGACAGCATTTTGTAAACATTACAAAGATATGAAATATAATGTTTTATGACATCCTCCTTAGGAATAGGAGTTAAATTTTTTTTCCTTAGTCTTCAGAGTGAGCCTTTCTCATAACTGCACTTTGAATGTGGATAATGTTAGAAATCAAACTTTAGTTTAGTTAGAAACTTGTTAGAAATACAAGTAGTTTTCAAGCCATTTTCTTAGGAATAATCAATATTCACTGCATAAGTGTTCAGTAATTACATTTTTCACCTACCACTGTAGGGATAATGCATGTTACCACTTTGAAATACTTCTAATATTGAAATTCTTAACAACATTTACCCATATGCCTGGTAACATGTATGTGCTTTGTGCTAAACTTGACTCTTTAGAGTTTAATGCAAATACCAATCACAACTCTGCTATTAGTAATCAAAATGTCTTCTTAATGTCAATGTTATATATATAAAGTATACAAGAAGACATTTGGGAAATATTTCCAAGCAGGAAATAGCATGAAGCAAAAAGCATGAAGATATCATGAAAAAAGTGTCTCACTTTCAGTTTGCAATTCGTGCTTAGTTTTCAAACATTGTCACGAATTATCATTATCAGAATATGAAGCATAATTTTTTTTTTCCCATAAATGTTCTAGTAATGTGAGTATGTAGTTGACTAGAAACTAGCCAAGTTTGGCACTGTCACCATTTAATTCAAATAACACCCTGTTCTGGAATTAAAAATAATAGATTCTTTTTTAATTCTAGTCTTTTTTAATGAACCTTAATTTTATGAAATTATTATCTTAAATGCTTTTTAATAAATTATTTACATTCTTAGGAGCAAAAGAGATAAAATAATTGAATTTATCGAGATATTTAAGGAAAGAATTAAACATTTTTCATTATATAAATATTTTAAATTTTTATAATTCTGTGCTTGAAAAGTCTATTAAGCTTATGAACAGCTTTTGGGCAGGATTAAGAAAAAATTATGATAACCCTGAATACTGAATTTATCTCTTTTGCTCCTAAGAATGTAAATAATTTATTAAAAAGCATTTAATATAATAATTTTCATAAAATTAAGGTTCATTAAAAAAGACTAGAATTAAAAAAGAATCTATTATTTTTAATTCCAGAACAGGGTGTTATTTGAATTAAATGGTGACAGTGCCAAACTTGGCTAGTTTCTAGTCAACTACATACTTACATTACTAGGACATCTATGGAAAAAAAAATTATGCGTCATATTCTGATAATGATAATTCGTGACAATGTTTGAAAACTAAGCACGAACTGCAAACTGAAAGTGAGACACTTTTTTGATGATGTCTTCATGCTTTTTAAAATAAGCATGCATATTTGCTCATTAAAAATTTTAAGGTATTTCACAATTGGATGAGGAATAGGAAAAAAAATTTTTTTTTTTGATTAAACATATAGTATACGTGGATTTCTTACCTGCTTGGAAATATTTCCCAAATGTCTTCTTGTACTGAGCTGAAACATGTGTTGTCGTTTCTGTCCATGTACCTTTAACGAATTTCGTTGGTAGCAGAGCTTTGATGGCAGGAGGGATAAATTGCAAGTTTTTCTTAAAGTTACTTTTGTGTTAGGAAACCACAATACAAAAACAAAGCTTTTAAAATATAATTAAAAAAAATTGTTAAGACTGATGCTTTCAATATTACATCGCATGATTCTTGACATTTTTTTAAATGTCACCTCTGCATATTATAAATTTCCCCTTTCCCTTCCCCAAAAGAACACACATTTTAAAATGCATGAGGTAAACTCTTGGTGTTTTTTTTTGCTGTGAAACCACATGCAAATTTAGACTTCTTGCATGTTTCTTAAAATGGGCCATGATCAAAATTACCATGGTCTAAAAATACGTTTTTGTTTCATTTCTTAAATTAGAACTATAGGGATGAGTAATTGCATTAATTCATAGAGCAAAATAAGGTTTTCAGTATTGGTTTTATAACATTTTTATAATTTGTCTGAGTATAAAAAATATAATGTTGCCTAGAATATGGAATGTATTGCACATAATGTACAGTTCTCAAATCTTGTAAATCTCATTTATTAAGTATCATAAATAGTATGCTGACATAATGCTTGCCTTTTTATTTAAAATTTTATGCAAATTTTTTACATTACTTAGACATGTAATCTAACAGAAAAGTGACTTTTTTAAAATAAAAAGTCTGTAATAAACCACTGAACACTAGACATTTAATCTAACAGAAATCTGTCTCTTTTTTTAAATAAAAAGTTTGTAATAAACCACTGAACACTGATAGTTCAGGCTGGCTGTATGGGAGTGTCTAGACCCCAAGAATCACTTTTAATCATAGCCCATTTCGGAAGGAGAAAGGGAAAAAAAAAGATTTCATCCAAGAACTCGCAATCCCTTATGATGGACAATGTTGTTTTCGTCCATGCTGCGCAATCACTTTAGATGCTAAAGAACTTGTGATAATATTTATTTAGATTAGTTTTCTTTAAAATAAAAGTGCCTAATATGATTTAATAGATTGTGTAAGATTAATTGTGTGGGAAATTTCATTTTGTAAATTGTGTAAAAGTGTCTGAATGCAAATATCACCCAGTATGAGCAGGCGATCCTATGGCAGTATTACACTGCATTTTAACAAATTTCTTGTTAATTACATTAGTTTAACTCACAAGGAAATGATCGAGTTCTGCACAAGAAATATAAGAATTCTGCTCTTCATTTGCAGTTTTGTAAACTGGCAAAAATTGTTTATTTGACTAACTTTGTCGCTCATAGATAATATGTTTCATGAATAATAATGTAAAAAAAAAAGAAAGAAAACTTTCTAAGGAATAATTTTTTTTTATCCATCCATGTGTACACAACCCCTCCCCCCACATGTGTGGTATAACACATGCTATGGGACAGCTGCTGTCCCATAGCATGTGTTATAAATATGTTTACAAGTGCACATTTAATGTATAACGGACGGTATAAGCTAAGCTAAAATTATCTAATTATCTATTTCAGTTAATGTCGCAGATTGCGCTGTTCCTTAATCTTCGAATTGGATCAGGCTTATTATTTTTATTATTGTATGCACAAAAAAAATAGGGTAAAATCCTAGTATACGGTGCAGCATTGGCACGATTTTGAAAATTATTGCCAACACCAAAAATGATCCAAAGAACGTCGCAATTTTGAAAATTATCGCCAACACCAAAATACTATGTGTCTATATACATAATATATACTATATATAACTATATATATTCTTTGAATGACCTGTTTACTACTCATCGTACATGTCCCGTTTTTACTGCTCATCATAAAGTCGCCAAATTCCATGTGCACCGCATACTAGGAATAAACCAAAAAATAGTTATAACTGATTGTAAATAAGCATAAAAAAATAACATTGATAATAAGCCCTGTTTTAAATTAATTTGGGTGTTCTCATTAATTCTGGTTTGGCACATTTAATATTCACTTTCATGCATTCTGCAAAAATAAAATTCTCATTAATTCAAAAGTCATTAATTCGGACAACCATAATCCGGAATGATCTATAATCCCGACCTCAAAGCTACAAACTTTCTGCGCATGCGTTGCGTTGACGCATGCGCGTAAGACCTTTACGACTGCGAATATGCATGTGCGCATGCACAAAATATGTTTACAAGTGCACATTTAATGTATAACGGACGGTATAAGCTAAGCTAAAATTATCTATTTCAGTTAATGTCGCAGATTGCGCTGTTCCTTAATCTTCGAATTGGATCAGGCTTATTATTTTTTGCAGACTGTTAGAGCAATTTTATAAAAGTAAGCTTGAACTTTCGATTATGTCAAATAGAATTTCCGATATATATTTACTAATATGTAAAGGATCTACAAAGCGAAAGTATGTTTCGAAGTACATTAAACAAAAAGTGGAATTGCTGCAAAAAATGGATAAAGGCATATCCTTTGTTTTTCTAACCATTCCGAAATCTGTTTATCAA